GCAACATTAGGGACCATGATGATTTGGGACGACGAAACCATGAGATCTTGATCTGGTTCATCATCATTCCCCCCATCATCCGCTTTAAGTGCGCGGTGATAAGTTTCAAATTTAAACTCTAATTCTACTGTTACTATACACTGGATACTATGTATCTATTTAACGACTAGTCCTAATCGAAAGTTATCTCTCGTCATGGGGAGGGATAATTAACTAACTATAGGGGCTTTCGCCTATAGGAAACCTGAACTCAAATCATAAATTCATTACAAAATGAGAGTGAAATCTCTGGGTAATGTCTCATTTAAAACCCAATATGACTTCTGAAAATTTGCCTCGGAACCTAAACATGTTAAAACTCTTCTCACCAAAATAAAAAAGAAAGGGGTCACGGAGAGACTGGGGTATGAATTTTCGGAGCCCCACATCGGCCTTGATGATGCCTGTGCTCCATCTCTTTCGTGATTTGCTGGGATGGACCTGAATATGTGAATGGCATGTGTCGGAACATGATCTTTATGTTTAGCAGGAGATTGTCTTGGGTCAACAAGGTTGAACTCTTTTAGCTTCTTAGCACGAAATAATTCCTCAACTAAGCTTTGGAGTTGGTGATAATCCTTCATGTTATGTCTATTTATTTTTGTGGAAGACATAATTTTTTGATGGATCTGGCATGAGGCTATTTGCGTATTGATGATGGTTGTCAGAAGTACTCTTGGTTATGAATCATGTCAATAATCTTTACAATCGGCACTCAGAAAGCAAGAAGGTTGATAACATGTTGCATGAGGTGACCTCTCCCATAAGTCAGAGGTATGTTGGCCCTTTATTCACACTCAAGATGGAAATATTAGTTATATTGTGACTGGTGGTGGTGATAGCTATGATACGACTTCTTAACTAACTTGTCTTTTTAGTTGGACGATTTGCATTGTTGGTCTCGAGATGCCGCCAATAATCCAATACTAATATGATTATTGTAGAGCTTTAAAAACTCGGCTAGTTTCTTCAACTGCTATAGTTTGAGTACATATCTGAAGTAGTTTCTCGGAGGCCCTTATTCAAAAGTTGTTTGAGCGATGACTATTTTCATCCAAAAAAGTTTCGATGCTATATCTATGGTGCTGAAATAACGACGTAGTGTGGGCAGCTGAACCATGCTTACGAGGAATATGAGTGAAAGGAGCAACCTGCAGGATTTATTCTAAGATTTTCAACTCGTATTAGACTCCTTGAGAGACCTGATTGACTTGACTCATATGAATATGAATTTACAATGCTTAACTCATTAAATTTAATTATTTAAGATATGGCTTTCAACTTTGTGGAACTTTCTTGATGAAACAAACCTATACCACATGATATTTTGATATTTCCGTCTGCCTTCTTAGTTTTATTGTATAAATTAATGGGTTTATAGTAGAATTTAAAGTTGGGTGTTGTGGTTAGTTGCCCTCTTCTGTGATACAGGAATATACGGATGCTTAAAAGTTAATTGTTCTTTTGCATAAGTTAAAAATAATTGTTATAATTGACAATATGATCAATTATGTTTCATGAAATCTCCGCATGTTGACAAAACTTTAAACTTAATATAAATATAAAATGAAATAAATAAGATGATTTATTATGAAATTTAATGCTGTTTTTGGATTTAGGTGGTCAATGGTATCTCATCTATATCTAGAAGGTATATTCGGAATGTTTTTCTTCTTTGTTTTGACTTTTGAACGAGCAAACTGCACATACTTCACAAATTATTAATCATGTCTTGGAAGCATCTAATTGCATTGCATATGAAAAAAGAATAAGAAATTAAAGAATTAGTCAACATAAGAAAACAAACAAGTCATAAACTGATGCTGCAAGTAAAAGAAGCCATAATCAAAATAAAGTTCAAAGATGCTAAAAGAAGATTTTAGCTAAAGCAGAGTCAAGAATTGGGCAGGGCTTAAATCCAAATGTAAATCAAATTCGTCACTATATGTGTTGCATTGGCAGTATAAAATGCAATGCTAAATATGGAGAGATAATAAATCCGCATGTTTTAAATCTCGCACTTGTTCGAAATCAACACAATTGAACCAAATGCCAAGTTAAAGTCATCGTTACTCTCATTTCTTTGAAAAAAATTGACGAAAATTGAAGGACAGTGCAGCTTCTATAACTGAGGCTACTAAACAAAGCTAACAACAAAAATAGTAGCAAGATGGAAACAGAAACAGCTGACATGCATACTAGCTTAAAAAGATCATTTTTGCATCTTATTTCATCCGGAAAAAGGGCAAATTATGGGTTGAAGCTATATTCACATGATAAATTGTGCACGTACATGCGTGTGTGTATATATATATATATATATAAGAAAAATACAAATAGTCTAAAGTTGTTAACTACACTGAAATAGAGGAGAAATAATCGTAGGAAGCAGAGGAAAGGGCACGTCTCAGTCTGCATATTCTTGCCAAATATAGGAGTCTACGGTTAAATGCACAGAGAAACGGAGGATTAATTGTGGTAGTCGTGGGAAGCAGAGGAAAGGGCATGGGAAAGGCTGAAACATAGGAAAGAGAGGACATTGCTAAACGTTGATGAAGTAAAATTGGTGTTGGGAATATGAATGTAGGAGGAAAAGGCATGTGATACTAATATCAATATCCCTTACCTTTGTAAGAAGTATTTTGCATGCCAAAATGTATGACTAGTATTGTCTGCACATGATGCTAAGCTGCCATTCTTTTATGTTCACCTGCTGAAGACTAAAAGATCAGTTGGATTGAATTGTTGAGTGTTGAAGGGCTAATAGCAACCTTGGATTAATTTTGTAGTTTGATCTGTCGTTCTTCTTCTTTATGTTTGATTTTGATTTAGTTTCTGACAATGACTGTGACTTTATCAGACTTAAATATTGAGACACCTCCTTCGATGTATCCATCAAAGAAATTCTGTGATATAACAGGCTTTGAGGTATGTAATCAATTTGGAGATGAATGCTTGCTTATATTTTAGTGTTCCTCTACTTCAGCATATATATTTTTTTGGCTTATAAAATGAGTTTTGTGTGCAGGCACCGTACATGGATCCTAGAACAAACCTTCGCTATGCGAACCCAGAGGTATTTAAGCGTGTCAGAATGCTTCCAAATGAGCATATCCAACGATATCTGTCGCTGAGAAACGCTGCGGTCATACTGAGGTAGCTTCTCTCGAAGATAGTCTTATATTTAGGCGTGTATACAAAAAATTATCTTGTACAAGTTATGGAAAGCTGATGAAGGAATTTCTCGTTGAATTGTATTAGTTATCCATTTAGAAGGGTTTATGTCTGTTACAACGTAATCGAAATCTTATATATGTAATACTATATTTATTATTAATTTGTTCATAGTCCAAATCTGAAAATATTGGCAATTGGTGGATCTTGATGAAATTTTCGAAGTGTGTAAGGATGATCACCTTGACAAGTGAGAAAAAAAAGTTAGTGAAAAAAGTGCAAGAAGCTCGTAATTTACATCTTCATCAATTCATTATTGTATAATGAGTTTTTTATTACAGTTTGTGTAATAAAATCTAAGTGTCTTCTTTTATCCTTTTTTTTTTTCCTTTGAAGGAGCCATTCATCCTGTAGTACGTAGCTGCTACTCAAGGAATAATGGGGTGGTGCTCTTATTATTTTGATGTTTGCGATAATGTATATAATATCATTATTTTTTTATGTGATACCATTATAATATTTTTTGGCCATCTTTGAGGTATCAATACAAAATACTGAGATGAAATATTTTTCATTAAGTTGTTCAATTGAGATAAGGTTTCCCTTCAAGTTAAGAAAGTGTTTCATATCATGAAATTTTAGCATAGTCCATTCCCAATCTTCATTTGTACATTACCAATTCTCATAATCTTCTTCTCTCTCTCTCTCTCTCAAGCACACACTCTCTCTCTTCATATCCCCTCTTCAAATACCATGCAACCACCTCATTACATAATGCTTAAATGAAGTAGCCGGCCAAACTGTAAAGATTATTTAGATTGTAGAGTAGGTAGATCTAGAAGCAAGGCTTCTTGATCAAGGCAATTTGTTCATGTAGATCATGGCTTGTTCCGGATCTTTCAAGCCCGGCCAGTTTCAGAGATGAAACCTTTTCTAATATAACAAAATCATCTATCAACGAAACTTGGATCGAGAAATAATTTACAAATCTGAATCACTATAGCTCCTCTTGAAGCAATTTCTTAATTTTCTCATGTCAGATTGATACTGCCTGACATTTTTCTAAAGAAAGGCTGTAGCCATCCATGCGTTGCTGTGGAAAAGAACTACTACAGTGGCCGACATCGCATGTGAGTTTATTTGCATGTAGTATAATAAGTGATAAAATCTTCATCTTTCGATGAAAATGGACCTGTAACTAACACTGGATCAAAAATATGGAGAAAGCCATGTGGAGAATGAGGAAGACTGGGAGCCATTTCACCACGTGTATGTCAGAGCTATCGATCTAATTACTTGGTTCCAGCAGAAACCTGTTAAAAGAACACAGGCCCTTCAGGTTAGTACCATGCTCGTTTCTTTTCTTCTATAAGTAATAATTTTAAGTCAGCTCCCTTCTTTATTTCTCCATCTTTCTACTCTTTTTGATCAATCTTTGATGTGGATGACTCTTTCCACCATCAACAAGTAATCCAAATTGAGAAATATTCAACCTCTCTGGTAGTTTTTGAAGTTGACTTTTTTTCAAATCCCTCAAGAGAACTTTTGATCCTTTGCATTATATCAAAATTTGCCTAATTGATATAATCCTAATTCCATCATGATGAGTGTATTGATATTATTAATTAGTTGAATGTGCTCTTTACTTGTAAATGGAGACATGATTAATATAACTATCATGTCTTGTGCCCATGAAGAAATCATAATCCCTTAGATTCTAAGTAAAGCTTGCCCAAATGCTATGGGAAATCTACATGAACCATTTCTAAGAAGGAATATAGCGATTAGTTTTTTTTGTATTTTTGAAGTTTTGTTTGGGACGGTTTTTTTATTGTTTTTTAAAGCAAGTTTCTTGCACAAAAATCTATTGGAAGCAATAAACAACACAGGTCAAAAGCTGCTTCAAACAAAGTCTAAAGTTTCGTTTGGGACGGCTTTTTTATTGCTTCTTAAAATAATTTTTTAGTATAAAAAAATTAATTTTTGTACTAAAAGTTGCTTTAAGAAATAGTAAGAAAGTTGTCCCAAATGAAGTCTAAGATTAAAGTGTTGTGTCCCCTTACTCAATTTGCACGATAGCTAGCCCTGACGTGTAAGACTAGTTGGCAATGATTTATTTGTCCATGCATGTTACTATTGCTTGTTGGTAGTAAAAGTACTACCAAATCGGCTATATTCATATTCAAGAATCCTGAAACATTTTTGAAAAATTTCAAAATAATTTAAAAACATTGAAATAATTCTAAAAAATCATGAAACCTTTTAGCATTAAATAATAAAACATATGATTCAACTGAATTTTGTAGAAAAATATATAATTATCCCTAATATTTATGTTATATAAAATATGATCAGAATTATATAGAGATTTTATGGCATTAAATAATAAAACATATGATTCAACTGAATTTTGTATTACAATATATAATTATCCCTTCAAAATTCAATTTAACTATAAGTTTACTGAAATTAAAATTGAAATGATCCTAAATCTAATTCTAGAAATTTCCACCAATTGAAATATATATCATCTTAAGACTCAAATTTGATGAGATGAATTTTCTAGTAAAATATCAATTAACATGATAATGTTATACTATTAACCATGGTTGATATAATACATTATTATAGAGAAGTAGATGGAAGTGTTGGTAAAATGTGCTATCACTCTTATTCTATGCAAGAGAAAGTAAGGGATAAGTGTCGACTAAAGTATAAACATGATTGATATTCCATTCAATCCAACCATGATTAAAATCTTGATAAAAAAATGGAAAGAAAGCCTTCCATAGTTAGTGGGATTTGGATTATAAGCTAGCACTTCAATCAATGCAATAGTAGAGAAAGGCACATGGCATGGTCCCTAATTAAATAGTTTTGTAGGACCATAATGGTCAAAACTAGAAGAAAAATAGAGGCTAGCAACATGTGAAAGGAGCCAAAATATTCCTCTTAACTAATGCTTGCATCTTAGCATAAAATTATTGTTAATTACTAATTAAGTACATTCAATCAAGTCTAACAACACATCATTGTCATTCTTGTAATGATTACATTCTCTTGCATGTATTGAGTTCTTATTTTTTATTACTTTTAAACCAACAATTATTCTTAGCAATCTTTATTTTATGATGAAAGAAACATGAAATAGAAGCATAATCATTGTTAAATTCAATTTGAATATTCTAATTGGGACAACTTTCTCACTGTTTTGCTTATTAATTGGACTATAACTATTATTTGACTATTGCTTTCTTGTTGTTTTTTAAAAAAAATTTGTGATGTGAATCTTCTTTTTTACAATTAGAGTTATTAATGTGTGGTAGTTTAAAAAAAAACACCTGCTTGATTTTTTTAAAAAGAAAATATTTATAATATTCATAGCTATTTTTTTTTTAAATTTTCTTATAACAACTTCATAACTATCTTTATAAAATATTGCAGCTATTATTCCAAATAGACCTTTAATCTATGCTTACATGATTGCAAATAACTCTTAATTTCATTCTTTGAATATGTAGACAAAATGTTAGATTCTTCTACAACAACAGCTATACAATCATATTTAGTTAAAATTTTATGAACACTTTCTCAATAATTTTTTAATTTTTTGATATGTCCTATTCATATGATAGAATTTGGTTCCTAATTTTAGTTGTAAACTTTCTTAAAATATGAACAGTAGATGTAGGTAATAAACGGAATAAGTGCTATATTTTTATTGAGGAAAGAAATTATGAGTGGAATCCTCACGTGAGTAATAGTTAGAAATTTTATAAGAAGATAAAACTGATTACACTTATTTAGGTTTCGTTTGAGACAACTTTCTTATTGTTTTTTTAAAGTAGTTTTATAGTATCAATTTTTTTCAAAAAAAAAAAAAGTTGATTTAGAAATAAATAAGAAAGTTGTTTCAAATGAAGCCTTAATTAATGGCACAAAAATAAAACTTATGTAAATAATCTTGAAATTCTCTGAACTCCTAACAATCTTATCCTTATTAATGTAAAATTCGGAAGATATATTTGAATTCTTCCAACATAAATTACATAATAAATTAACTTAGAGAGAAGAAAGATAACTGAGTCTTACACATTGACCTCAATTATTAATGGGTCCCAAGTAGGGTCCACTCTCACATGCCCTTATCCAATATAAGAATCATGCTCTTAACAATCAAATTCCTCTTGAGATTCATATCTATACATTTTGATCTCAATCAATATAATTACATTGATCGTTGATCTAAGTCACAGACATGTAACACTGAATCTCCCTAGCTAGTTTAAATTGATCGAATATCTACGATGACATAATTAGAATTTTAAATAAATTTGACGGACAAAAACTCTATAATATTTACTATTAGAAGATATAACTTAGGCATCAAATTTTTGTATCATATTGCTTCCAAATCTAAAATTTAGAAAATCATGATGAGCCCCATAGCTCCTTAAATCCACCATTGATTAGTATCTCCTTAATCAGCTAATGACATTAACATCTTTCAACATCATCGTTGCCCTTGCCCAAAAAGAAATCTATAACTCTTTACACCAAGGATTGTCTTTCATTAATACTAAAGACACTTTGATTCTTTCAAAGTACACAAGATTGGCAACATATAGTATTAGGCTTTTGTCAATCATATTAAAAGCTAGGCAAAATTCACAATGATAAAGATAATAGGTCCCACATGCAAATTGGAAATTAAGGAGGAAAAAAAAGGACTTCACATAAAGAGGGAACAAACCAAGGCTCCCAAGTCTCAAGCTACCATATTTCCCTTTAATGCAAAATTAGGCCTTTAATTAGTATGTTCCATTGCCACAATCCAAATCTATACAGCTACCAGTGCTATATGTTTTCTATTCTTGTTAATCTAAATTAATGTGTAAATGTGTTTTGAAACACATGAAATTATATGAAAAGAGGGGAGTTCTCCAGTATGAAATGTGCTTGATAGTCATGAACTAGCTAGTCAAATTTAATTACACAACCATATAATATGGCAATTATATGAAATATTCTATCACAAGCTAGTCTTCTTTCAAGATAGTAACAAGCTCTTAATTAACCACCACTCTTACCAACTTATGAGCTAACATGTATATTTACTAACCAAATAGTAAATGGACAAGAAACTTGACAACCCATCTAGAGTACTTACTAGCTTGCCAAATAAGGGTTTTTTTCCCAAAAAAATTTATTAGTGGCACTCACAATCAATTCGGAGCTTTTTCGTAGGGATTTTATTATTATTTTTTTCACAGACAATATCATACATAATAATCACATAAAATTTTTTGCAGGGTTTAAAAAATTAGATCTAACATATCAATAGATCATAGATAAATCTAACATGAGCTAGTCCTTGGCTAATTTAGTCACATCATTATCATAATAATATAAATAATTATTAAATAACTTTAATATTTATTATATCAGCATATATCAATTTAAATTTTTAATTAAATATCTATTTGAACTTTTGGAGTTTGAGTTTGAATATTTTGTACTTCATCACATACATATTTAGGTTTCGTTTGTGACACCTTTTTTACAACTACTTAAAACAACTTTTTTGTGTAAAAAGATGTAATTTTTGTACTAAAAAGTCGATTTAAGAAACACTAAAAAAACCGTCACAAATAAAACCTTCTTTTTTTTTGGGGGAAATTTTGGGGCAAAAGCCTTTCATATTAAAAAGAGATTACAAGTAAAGTAAATGACAAACTATAACTCCCAAAAGCTCAAAAAATAGAGTTTGGGAGTTCTAAAGGAAGCAAAACAATACAAAGAACTTAAGATAGAGTTATAAGGACTCAGATCGTTCTGGCTTTTGATTGTCGAGAGGGACTTAAGAAAGGGTTATAAGGACTCAGATCGTTCTGGCTTTTGATTGTCGAGAGGGTCGGCCAGAACGCAAAAACCCATGGTTGCCAAATTGGCCGTCCTAAGGGCAGCTGTAGAAACAACATTCATCATTGTCCTATGCAAAAACCAGCAACCTGCAAGCAAGACAATCTCAACAGGCACCACAAAAAGAACATAAAGCATCAGGTATGGAGAATCCTGCGAAGAGTTTTGGTCCTGTTTAGCAACAGCAAAGGCCTCCAGTAAATCAAGGGTGTTTCCAGCCATGAGTTTTGAGTAAGATAGCTTTTTTGACTTTAGCAATGACAGTCAGTTGGCTGTCGATAATTCCACCAAACAACCTTTCGTTTCTTGCTCTCCAAAGGTGATAAATAGCAGCAGAAGCAGTGAGCAGATAAAGATCTATCATGGTTGTTGAAATTTTGCTCAAAAATGCTATCATAGACTTGAAAAAGGTTTGGATTCATCAAAAGTGATCCCAGCCAAGGCAGAAAACATTTAATAACATTAAAGGTGAAGCTGCAGTCATAGAATAAATAGGACATAGTTTCCGCAGCACAGTGACAGAAGCAGCAAGTGTATTGACTTGAAATTCCACGTTTAGCTAAAGCATCAGAGGTTTTGAGCCCTCCTTTAAAAGCGAGCCAGGCGTATGCAGAAAAACGAAGGAAGGCTCTCTTATGCCATACAAATTTGTTCCAATTCACCATCTCCAGGTGACTAAAATAATGCTTACGGAAATCAGCAAATTTGGGATTCAGTTTACTCAGCCAAAGATGGCTATCATCATTGCCCTCAATCGGTATAGTATTGATAAGAGTAGAAATTTGATTATCAAAAAAGCTCGGAACAGCCCAGTTGTCCCCCCAGATAATATCTTTCACCATCCAGCCAAAGTAAGGTTTAAAAGCAGGTAAC